TTTTTGTGCCACGGGTTCTCACTTTGTCTTCTTTTTTTTTTGGCAATGTGTTACGCCTGTTAATATGTATACTGATCCTGCACATGTATTATTTTATGCGACTGACCCGCGTGTCCCGGGTCAGTTGCAAGCACCGTGACCACTGGAGTGCTAGTGAGCAATCAAGAACACCAGCGAGCATGTGACATGCACAACGGCTCAAACACACTTGATACTTGATACGCGCAACACACTTGATACTTGATACACGAAACACACACACTTGATATGCGCACAACGGCTCAAACACACTTGAGTGGACGTGCGAACAGCATCGTTGGACGGTTGCTTTACAACATGCGTTTGTCCATGCAGATAGCGGGATGCCTTCAAGTTTGCGCGGCATCGAACTCTCCAGCTGTTATCGCTTCGTGCGCACCTACTGATTGCGGCCACCGCCATGAAGACTACGCTGGACATGACTTGCTTTGACAACCCTACTGGACCATGGCTCCATTGCACAAGTTCAGCTCATCACCTACGACATCACCATTTCCTCTAGATATAAACGGACGCCAAAGGCCCGCGCCTTCCAGTGGGCGTGCGAACAGCATCGTTGGACGGTTGCTTTACAACATGCGTTTGTTCGTGCAGATAGCGGGATGCCTTCAAGTTTGCGCGGCATCGAACTCTCCAGCTGTTATCGCTTCGTGCGCACCTACTGATTGCGGCCACCGCCATGAAGACTCCGCTGGACATGACTTGCTTTGACAACCCTACTGGACCATGGCTCCATTGCACAAGTTCAGCTCATCGCCTACAACATCACCATTTCCTCTGGATATAAACGGACGCCAACGGCCCGCGCCTTCCTGTGGGCGTGCGAACAGCATCGTTTGACGGTTACTTTACAACATGCGTTTGTGCATGCAGGTCAGTAATAACTCTTCGTTATTTGCTAAGAAATCTAGCAATGCCTGCCTTTTGCTGTTCCCACGCCCACGAGTGCTACTTGTTTTATTGTGCAATCATTTGATGTTTGTGGTCAGCTGCTTTTGCAGTCAGGAAACGTAGTGTTAAACCCTGGCCCTTCTACTGGTGCTTCTGGCGTTGTTACGCGGTCTAAAGACAATGCTAGCGAGGAGGCAATACAGAAAAAACTGAATGATGTGTTAACCCTACTACAGAGCGTCAATTCCCGCACAGCTAGGATGGAAACGGAACAGTAACGTCTAATTATGTCTATTGCAGAGTTAAAAGAAGCTCAGGAAACTATGAAAAACAACATAGCCAATATTGATATAAGGCTGTCCGCTGTTGAAACCAACGTTACTAGATACTTTTTTCAGTTTGCAAACTGCGGCGCCGCGAGTGTCACCCTTCCCTGTACCGGTCAAAAAGCCGCAAGCGCGCCCCCTCTCGGCGGTGCCGTCTGACAACGGCAGAGTTACTGCAGTTGTGTTCTTATGCCGGGTGCTGCTTTGTTGCTTTCAAGTGTGCTTCGTAGTCATCGCTGTCACCGAGTCCCAGCAAGATTTATTTCGACGTAACTCGCGTAGTGTGTGCTCTGGCTGCAACTTACTACGGTAGCGATCAACGTGGTGCCCGGCGTGGCACCGACGCTATCAGCGTTGGCGTGATCTGCATGGTGCCGGGTGTTTTTTAATGTCTTCAACTCAGTCATCGCTTTCCCTGTGAGCTACACAGCTCACATGTGTCATGTGACGGTTCTTGAATGTGAGAAAACATGCCTCGCTGCTTTGTGACTGGTTGCCGAAGTGGGTACGATTCGACGAAGTACGCGGCCGAAAAGAGACATTTTTTTCAAGCCTCCCGCTGAAAATTCATAGAGAAAAAGCTGCTAAAGATTACTTGTGAAACGTCCAGAAAACCTGAAGAGCAGGATGACGACCACTCTTACTTCAAAGGAGAAGTGGACGACGCCATTGTGTACTACATTAGTGGATATGTAGTGTACAAGTTTGAAAAGCACACAGCATGTCTTCTATGCTTAGAAGATATAAGCAGTGCAGCGCCCGTTGTTGGCTCTGATGCCTATCTGACAACCTATAGAAGTTTCAAGGAAGGCTGCATGAAGCATCCAACAGCTAAAATGTTGCGTGTGATGAGAGTTGTTAATGATGTAGTTTCTGCAACATTGGATGAGGCTGGTGCTTGCGAAAATATTTTATGGAAGGTGCTAGAAGAGCTTGAAAAGTGCAGCATTGCTCGCTTGGGCTGTTCAGACCATGAATCAGCATTCACTTGCCAAATATTGAACTTTGTCATTGTGACAAGAATGCATTTCTTTTCCAGAGATTTCAACCATAAATTAGAAAGCAAGGAAAAGGTGGCTGTAGCAAACAAAAAAGCACGTCTCCTGTAACTCTGGCTCTTGCCTTTGAAGAAAAGTGGCTTTCAGTTTGTTTGTTTCAGTGTTCAGTAAATTGTGTTTAATTTGACTTTGTTCAGTGTTCAATAAATTGTGTTTAATTTGACTTTGTGTTCTTGTCATCTCGCGCATTTTATAGCCTTAAAAAGTCCAAATTTTTATTGAAGTAGTTCGGTATCTTTCTTCTAAAATAATGCGAATCATACGATTCAGTTATCTGGAACGAACAAGTCGTTCTGGGCTTTACACTTTAAAACACTTTACATATCCGGCATCATTAGATGGCTGTAGTGCGTGGCTCATCGTACAATAATATCGAAGGTTCTACGGGCCAAAACCACGATATGATTATGAGGCACGTCGTAGTGAAGGGCTTTGGAAATTTTAACCACCTGGGGTTTCTCTAACGTGCACCTGAATCGAAGTGCATAGCCCTCTAGCATTTAGACTTAATGCTGTGGCCCACTGTCAATGGTTTTTTTTTTTACATAGGCAATCGAATTTTAAAGAACAGGAACGCAAAAGAGCTCTATGAACAGAAGTCCCGCAAGATTCGGGCATCGCGCTCACGTCTCTGCCGTGTGGCATCGCCTTAGCGGCTAAACTGGTGATTTACTTGCACACTCGTAATAACCTTCGCTCACCCTCTCGGGAAATAACTCCCATTACACAAAATTAACCGCGTAAATTCCGTTTAACATTGCGCGAAGGCTCCATTACGATGCGGCGACCGGTCAAATGGCGTCGGAAGCGCCACCTAGAGAGCGGGAAACGAAGGGGGCCGCGTTTCGCCGCCGCATACCGGCGGAGTTTGCAAACTGAGGTAATCTAGTAACGTTGGTTGAAACTAGGACGCCTACCACTAACACCGCTCAACAAGACCTGCTGGCCTTATGAGAACTCGCGGATAACCTAGCTCGTGAAAATGACAAATCGCGACTTGGTCAATCACAGCTGGAGGACAGGCAACGAAGAGACAATTTATTGTTCTTCGGTGTACATGACAGTTTATCGGAAACATGGGAGGCCACAGAAGAAAAGCTGTTAAACATGATTTCTAGCTGCTTTACTCCTGGGCTTACAAAGGACGCGCTAGAATGTGCTCATAGAATTGGTGCATTCTTGGAGGGAAAATGCCGTCCGGTAATCGTGAAATTTCGTTCCTTTAAAACGAAGCAGCTGATTCTATACCAGTCAGTGAAACTCGGGGATAAAGGCATCAGTGTAACAGAAGATTTTTCTTTAGAAACGCGCCAAGCTAGGAAAAAGCTGCTTCAAATTGCAAAGAATCGGAGGTCATATCACAAACTGAGGTACAACAAACTGTACATTAACGGTCAGTGCTATAGCTACAGCGCAGCTCGTGATCATGTTTTTATGAAAAATAATTTTCGGGCACAGACATCGCGTCACGATATCGACGATTCTAGTATCTGTGACTTGTCACGTACTGAGCATACTGATCGCTCTGCTCGTCCGCTGGTCCAGAGTCAGCAGTTAACCCGTGATGTCACTGTTCTACCGCACCCTGCACTATAGGTTTGCGCGAGGGGCAGTGGTTCAGTGCCTACTACCGCAAATTCTGTCTCTTTTCTTTTTACAAATATTAGAAGTTTATTACCAAAGGGCGATAAACTTGACTCTATAATCGATTCCTGTGATGCTGATGTTTTGTTGACTGAAACATGGCTTACTTCTAAGGTAACGAGTATGGAATTGTTTGATTGCAAAAAGAAGTTCAACGTATTCCGCTTCGACAGAGGCCAAAGGTGTAGCGGTGGTGTTTTGATAGCTGTTGCAGATAATTTTGTTGCGTTGCCCATTAATTCCCCAAGTAACCTGGAACTAGTCTGGGTTGAGCTTAGCGTACGTTTTAAGGAGTTGATCTTGGGCATATGTTACCGTCCCCCGTCTTCATGTCCCACTTTTGTTGATGAATGGCATGACGCACTTAGCATGATCACTGTACATTTTCCCAACACTTCTATCCTCTTGGCTGGGGATTTCAACTACCCCTAAATTGTGTGGAATAATGCATCGCCTTATCCTAGCCCTTTCTCGACTGAGTGTAACAAGTTTTTGATGACTTGTCGGGAATTCAACCTGTCACAACTTGTCTCTGAACTTACTCGAACTACCTCAGCCACATCCAGCATTTTAGATCTCGTTCTAACTAACGTACCGCACCTTATCTCTTCACTCGTGTATCTACCTGGTCTCAGTGATCATTCGTTACTCCATTTTGATCTTGAAACTCCTGTCTGTAAACACATCAATCACAAAAAATATATTAGAGACTATAAACGTGCTGACTACAACACGATGAATCGTGAGCTAGCTCTTTTTCTCGATGATTACTTGCAGGAGTTTTCACTGCGCTCTGTGGACACTAATTGAAAATTAAACGTTTAAGGGCATTGTTGAGCATCTTATTGACGCCTTTGTGCCCCTCAAATCTTTGAGGTGTGAGAGGGAATCACCTTGGTTTAATAAGTATTTGAAAAGACTGTCCAATAAAAAGAAACGTTTGTTTCGCTCTGCAAAGGTTATGAATTCCGAGGTGCAATGGGAATCCTATTTTTTTCGTGGCTGCTAAGTACAAAGCTGCATTAAGGAAGGAGTGACTCACCATGTGGGCAATAATTACAAGCAGACCAGCTTGGCGCATGAGAGTGGATTTACCACCCATGTTGGGTCCAGTTAGAAGGGTCAGCACAGGATCCTGCACATAAGAATCAGAAATCGTGCATGCACTCACTAGTGAGACACAAAGTTTTAGGATTCGAAGTAAGGAAGTGATACCTGCATTCTAACCTTTAATATTCATGAAAATACCACAAACATGGTGGCAGCATTTCTTGCAATACATGTACACTTGTGACCCATAAAATTTGAGGAACACAGTAAAAGCTACTTAATTCATACTCGAGGGGAAGTAAAATTGTTTGAATTAATGGAGCAGCACTAAAACGTATGAACATTGCACCACACTGCAGGGCAGAATCCAAAGAAGCCGTCTCTGAACTCGTTATCGCGAACTAGACGCTACTACACGTTTGTGACAGGTGAGTTTGTTGATTAAGTTCACCGAGCTTTTACCAACAGAATTAATTTATCAGTCAATGATACGCCTGAAACAAGCACCGGCACGCATTCGTGTGAGCAGTGAGCCCTAAAGTCGAAATATGTGATACTACTTATGCTGCAAAACATTTTCACTTACATGGTAGTTATACAATCAAAATTAAAAGTTGAATTCGTTTATAACAAATTTGAAAGTGCCACGATAAGTATCATAATATCAGTAGTTCGTTGTATATAGACTTGCCTTAAAAACATGTACTGAGCAACGAAACCACTCTTTCCTTTTATGTATACTTTTAAAAAAAGCTAACAACCACTCCAGTGAAGGTAGGCATTTCAAGTGTTAAGTGACGGCTGCTTATGCATGACTAAATTAAACTACGTTTGCAATGAGGTCGTGCCGTTTCAGTGGAGCATGGAATTGGCATGTCGAACGAATCAAACCTGGATAGTTGCATAAAACACGTCGCTTACTCTGCCCTCGCCGTTGAATGCCAGGTCGTTTGCAGTTTAATGTATGCATGCGGTTGTGCATTCTTCATGAATGCTTCACTCCAGATTGTGCTCAGGTGAAGCAAGTAGCTGGTTCAGCACAGCAAAGACATGCATTTTGCAAGTGATTTGCAAGCGCATGATGCCGCGACGGCAAACTTGCAAGCAGCAGCAGGACGCACTTGTACTTGCATCACTTCACGCGGTTAATTAAAGCATGCACATCCAAACAGGTATTGGCAGATGACTGTGATAAGGTTTTCGGAGATGAGTCAAAATGGCAAATTTTCTCACCATACACCAGCCACCTCGCCTTCGCTTTTTGCTGAAGCTTATCTGTAAAGGCATCGCCACAACTAAACGGATGTCATTATTACTCATCAACCTGTCTCTGCCTTAAACAAAAGGCTTGAAGAGCTTTTGCGGCAGTGTGGCGTCAACATTGCAGAGAGTTTTTTGTGATAAAAAGTTATCACTTCTTGCAATTATGGCTTTTTTTTGTTTCAAACCTTGCTTGGTTCATCGTCGACAGCCGTAAATACAGAAAATGGTGCCAGAAAAGCTTTCCAAGCGAAAGCTGACTGCAAGCCTTCATGCTGCCTATATTTTTTCTTTTTCTCACCGCCATTCTGCCACCGAAGAAACTCCTGCAAAGTGAGTATTCCCACTCACAGCGTCCAAAGTATGCTAGCAGTTAGCGCGAAAATCTACAAGATCTGTGTAGCACATGAACTGCAGCGAAGCACGTGCCTCTCACATGCTTTAGAATGCCTCTTCCAACTTCTATTTCGCTTTGTATGTGCCATATTTCTAGCGCAACCAGGCCCCGGAAACTCTCAAGTTCAAGTGATCACCTGTAGAGGGCGGAAAAATCAACCGCGGCACGTTTCTGCTTTAAACACCCAGAGTGGATCTAACCTCTCTCACCACGTGCGCTGTTGCACTTTCTTGTAGGGGCGCCCTCGTCGGGGCCAAGTTCTATTTTAAAATGATCAAATACTACGTCTTCGCGTACCACTACACATAAAAAACAACTTGTTCTTCCAGCAAGTAGTTTTCTTAAACATGTGCTGCATCATCATTTTTTTGTAATAGTTTTTGCTCCACCTGACTCGAGGTCAGCAGCAACCTATTGACATCATTATCCTGATTTCAAAGTTTGCGGCGGCCAACGGTTGCGATGGCAGGTAACGGCTCACGGTACGTTCGGATGTGTCTCGGGCTGTTTCGTTTCGCTGTAAATATTTCGAGCCTCTGCCGACCGACACACTTTTTCTCGTTCTGTTTATTTTGACTTGTTAAAATGCTTTCGCGAAGGGAATTCAAGTGACTTCCGAGGAACGAAGTGACCGCTGAGTAGAAATCACTTCAGTTTTTCAAGGACGGTTGCTTGCTGAGCTAGTTGGTTCATTTCAACATATGTAGTAGTTTTTTTGCCAATGACCACGTAGGCGTCAACGGTGGCTGCGCACTGCAATATTAAATTTTGAAATTGTTTAACGTCTCAATCTGTAACCCGAAAAACGTGCGTTACTTGCGGCGTGGCTTCGCGTGGGAACGAGTCGCTGACTCAATAGTTAATTCTGAAATTCTATCACCAGGTAACACCAACCAGGCCACTGCGAAGAAAGAAGGCAAATAAATCACTGTTGCCTCGCATGTGTTTTCGTAGCTAGCCCATATATTAGTGGAAAAAAAAAACAAAAAAAAACAACCTACTAGTGAATAGTTTACCGCAGTCGCCTTTGAGAAACATAACATAATTATGGGTCTGGTTTTGCTTAGTCTGACAAAGAAAGTGTCACATAAATGAGAAACACTTCTTTTTCTGCCACAGCCTCCTGGCCCACCTGACATGGAAGCAGCTGTGTACAATGGGCAAGGAACCTGCTAGAAGACATGCCTTGTGAAGAAGCAGCTCCAAGTGATACACACACACACACACACACACACACACACATATATATATGAGTATATTATATACATTTACGAGTATATTGCATATATGTATAAAATACTGCTCTTTACTAGTTAACTGAGTTTATTAGTTTACTTTGGAAAATTTCGTGCATTGATTATGCATTGCTATCTGGTGATATTACTTGTTTTGCCACACTGCCATGCAACGACAGGATGACTACCCCCGAATGTCCACTCTACAAGCACGTTGAAACATGTGAATGAACACTACAACAGGTCATCTTGAACCTCACACATGTAATGCTGTATTTGTGAATGTTTTACCGTGCATATCATGAAGGGGTGCTTTAGATTGGCCACAAGCATTGGCTGTCTACCGTGGCATGGAATGTACACTTCAATAATGTTCAAACTGTAACACTATTAGTTAGATTGTGCGGAACTACTGAGCTCAACAACACACTGTTTGATCCCAGCCACAGTGGCCATATTTCGATGGGGGTGAAACACTAAGACACTTGTGTGCTTAAGGGTTCGTTCAATTAGCCTGCACCACATGATCCATTTTACAAAGTGCTACACCTCGCCATTCATTTCAGTGGTGCAGCAATAGCATCTTCTAAATCGTGCCATTCATTTCAAAAAGTGCAGGAGAGGTACAGCACCAGAACTAGTTCATGACTTTCCTGCACCTTCTTCTCTGACGGCGCTGGTTTGGTGCAGCCACACACACAGCTTAACAAACAACATAGCATTAGACGTAGGTACTGTACCCACCTCTACAAATGCGGCGTGTTTTGCCAAAATGTTTGCACCTCATTAAACTAAACAAACAAAAATAAGGATTCCACCTTGTCATTCACTTGTGATGCCGCACTGCTGAACTCATGCTGCACAAGTTCTGAACTTCTCGTGCACAGCTGTGAACTAGTTCCAATTGTGCAGGTGAACTAAACTAATTCTTAAAAGATGGAAGCTTGAAAATATGAAAAATCTGTTAACATAAGGTGTCAGAGTAAATGTTTCAACAAGCAGTCTTGTCTCCTGTGAGGCTACAATAGCATTTGTTTGAACACATGGAAGCCAGAATCAATCTAAATTTGCCCACTACTGTACGACTCACGATCACTTCATAGTTGGTATGTGAATCGTCAGAAATTATTAGTAATTGCAAAATGAACACCCCCCGTGAGAGCATTCACAGGCTTTCCAACATGTAGTTGTGCCTTGTGACAGTTAACAAACACCTAGAACTGCTTTGTCTTAATTAACTCTGTTTAGCTCATACAAGTTTACAAAAACATGTGCCAAAGCTTATAAGGCTGCACTCAATTGCTTTAGCTTTGCACATATGTTCAATGGGGTCCTAAAATAATAAATTATAAAGGGATGAGCCTTTGCAGCACAGCTTCCTCAAAGACGTGAATGCCGTCGTGAGGAGCAAGACTGTGTTCATTGCATGTGAGAGAAACGTCCCAGATTTTTTTGAGCACATCTGCTTCTGTTTAAATGAAGCTGTCATAACTATAGTGTCTACCACTACAAAGTGAACTTCTGTGCACTACGGTTATAAAAAAAATCTAGGAAATCGCACAAGTAGTTGAAACATACATGATCTTGTCTTATCCACAGCCACACTGCAAGATAGTACGTATTTCAAGTCCTAACCTCTAGAAGTAGCTGGGAGAAAACAACTTCAGCTTTCAAGCTCAAGTATACTAAAAAGTAAACACAACAACAAGTCTATAATAAATGTGACCTTTATTGATCCAGTATTCAGACAAATTCACATTATGTACTACCAATTGATTTCAGGAGTGCTTGCTTGCAAGAGAGTGCTCAAGTTCTATCAATGTGTCTATGAAAAAAAGTGATTGCACTTTTCAGTTTAATGTATGCATGCGGTTGTGCATTCTTCATGAATGCTTCACTCCGGATCGTGCTCAGGTGAAGCAAGTAGCTTGTTCAGCACGACAAAGACATGCATTTTGCAAGCGATTCGCAAGCGCATGATGCCACGACGGCAAACTTGCGAGTAGCAGCAGGACGCAGATAGTGTACTGTAAGAGCATAAAAAAAATGTACAAACAATAAAATTGGACAATGCACGCTTAAAGCTTATTTTCTTAGAATTGGGCCTTTTTGATCTGTAAGCACACACACCTCGTAACTGTTTCTTTAGAATACATGTTCGCTGTATACTCAGCAGACCGGTCATTACCTGCG